TGATCTGAGTCTAGTTCGACTAGAACACTTTGTTGGATGCGTTTGTTGAAGTGTTTGCTGAGTTGAATATCAAGAATGTCCGGTTGATAATCAGTTCTGTATGGATAGTATGTATAGTCGGTGGGAGCTGCTATTTGAAAATTATGAATGTTAGATAGATTCAGTAGTTTTTCACCTGAAGGATTTGAAGCTCTGCATCCCCAAGCTTGGTGTTTACTGTTCATGTCGCCTATAATTAATGTTGGTTCTTTATATTTGAACAGTTCTTTAATATCGCTCTCTAATATCGGTTTGTTTGGTTGTTTATATGCCACCGTGAGTCTGAATGGTGATTTATCAGTTGTTTCTACCATAATTGATATTGTTTCCTAGTTATTACAATTGTATTGTTGTGTTTCGTAGTGTTTCAGGTGTTTTTTGATTAGTATTGCCACCCCTCCTGAGGCAATTCGCTGTTCTCTGTCGTAGCGATATATTTTAAATCCAGATATATTGAACCTTTCTGAGTTACTTAGGTGGGTTTCTGTTATGCAAGCTATATCGATGTTATGTCTGGCTAGGAAGGCAATTAGAACCGCACGCTGCTTGTTGACACCATTGGCATTCCAGTTTAGGAGTGTTAGGTTGGATATTGTCTGATGGCTAGGCATTGAAAAATCTTGGGATTAGATGGGTTGTGAAGAATTGTTTGATTTGATCAAGATAAGGAGACAATAGGTTTAGAAGTGATTTAAGTATGATGCTTACGATTGATTGAGAATTGTTTTCACTTATAGGGGTGTTAGGATTTGCTGCTTGCGAGTAGGTATAAGAAGGATGATTGTAAGTAGGGGTTGGGGAGGAAGTTCTGATAGGGTTTGTGTTTTCTGAATTGGAGGAACGTATAGGTTTAGGTTTGTTTTTAGTGTCTAAATTTTTGTAGTATGTACAACCTTTATAATTGGCTGGATGTTGTTCCTGGCAGTTGACACATTGCGGAGGTGCCTTTTTGGATTTGGTGCAATCTTTCGTCAAATGATTTTGATTGCATTTTACGCATCTAGGAGTTAATGTACAATAATTTTTTGTGTGTCCGTATCTTTGACATCTGTGGCATTGCGGTAAGCCTGGTTGCTTTTTTCTGTATTCTATGATTACTATTGCATGTTGTATTTCCTTGATATTAAAAATTTGGCGGCCATTGTCATTTGCAGCAAGATCAACTGCACAGATGGGTATGGGTTGTTTGTTTTTATTTTGCAATCTTATGACTTTTTTAAAAGGTAGTTTTAGTCGATTTAATTCGTCTTCGACTTCCTCAGTAGTGATAGATACCGGTAAATTTTTAATAACTACAGAAATTATTTTTTCATTGGGATCTTTGTATGTGTAGTATTCTACTTCATTTTCATTATAGAATTTAGTTAGTTTTCTATAGTCATCAATACTCGTTAGATTGATTTTTAGTGAGTTGTAGGTTGTATTTGTATAAAACTTCTCAATATTCAAACTTTTTAGGTCTTGTACTATTTCGCTATAATTTTTTATGCCTGGGAGATGTATTGGTGGAATTTTTGTTGTTGATTCTTTTGATGTAGTTTGCGATGACGTTTCTTCAGAATTATCTTCGAGATCCTGGAGTGGGAGATATCTATTGGAAGTAGATGGTTGATTTGGGTTCCAGTTATATTTCTTTTGGGACCCTTCTACCGGGGGAGATAATACATCTGATTTTCTTTTAGGAGTTGGTGTCTTTATATTTAGTTTAATTTTAATCGTCTCCCTTTCGGGAGATTAAATTTGTAATTGGGTTTTTCTTTTGATGAATATTTTTGTTATCGTTCAAGTAAAAATGTTTTTAAAGATACACGTGGTTTAAGAACGAAAAAAAGTGGGCGCGTTGGCTACAGCTGCTCGATAAACACGTCCGCACTCACTCACGTCTTAGCCCGAACTGTGAAAAAAAATAAACTAAGTGACAACGAAATTGTTTGGAGTCAGTATAAGCTACGCCCACCTCTGTGACGTCAGACTTAGGCAGTCTATAGACAACTTAAGCCCCCTAAAAGCCCCCTTAAACGTCACGCCCACTATACCATTGATGGTAAAGTATACGAGGATTAACTCGAATGTACTGCGTCTGCCTGTGCCGATATGTTTGATCCCAGTGTCTGCACCAGTCCTCCTTTACAATTTTCTCCCTGCAGATAGATACGAGCTCAGTTCGTTTTCAACTTTTAAACGTTTTAGCTAACTTATCTACGTGCTCATTATGGACAAAACCAGCGTGAGCCTTCACCCATAAAACTTTTACCACATGGCCTTGACCATTCAACCTAGCGACATTGTTCAAAATTTCCACTATAACAGGCTGGTATTTCGAGAAGTGTTTCCTGTGTTTTATAGATAGTAGGACACTTTTTGAATCGGTTAACGCTACTATTTGGGCGTATATTTCTATCTATATACTTTAAGGCCTCCAAAATTGCTGTTGCTTCCGCCGCAAAAATACTAGTGGATGGATTAAGTTTAAAACTGGCATGGTAATCAATAGTAGGTATCAAAAAAGCACAATCACTTGCAGATTTGGAAGTGTGAGTATAAATAACCAAACTATCCTCTATCCACTGCAGGGTCTCAACAAACAATTCTTTATTTTCCCAAACATCATTCCCATATGGAGGAATAATCACTTGACGTGAGCCAAAGTACTCAAAAAAGGACGTATTTGGAAAAACCAACGTTTCAAAACAGAAAATAGGCGAGGGGAGAGAAACTTTCCTATTTTTCCAGAACCTACCCGTGACTTCCCTGCTAACTTAGCGACCTTAGCCTGAAACGTTTTATGGTTCGAAGCTGACAGTTTAACCATCTGCTTCGTCGACCAGAAATTGCGTCTGAAGTTAAGTTCTATAGCTTCAACGTTAAGCGTTTCAATAGGAGTAGACTTCATTCTCGCCTAAACAAATCCGAAGCACTTTGGTCTGAATGACCCGAATGCGCTCAAGCTGATTTACCCTCGCGCTACCATATACAGTACACCCAAAGTCCAAATGCGACCTAATGCAACTTTTATAGAAATTATGTGCCGTCTGAAAATCTGCGCCCCACTTTATTTTCACAAAAATACGGAATATGTTTATAATTTTTTCACATTTCCCGATAATGTAATCAATATGTCTCCGCCATGTTAATTTGATATCTATCATAATCCCTAAATATCTTATACAATTCTCAATGGGAAAGATGATATCATTTAGCCTTATGTTACCTGAAGGGATATTTCTGTGTCGAGAAAAATACAAGATTGCGGACTTATTGGCTGCAAGAGTCAGCATATTGAATGATTTTGGTTGTAATCCCCAGCCGCTCATGAAAATCGATGGAATAAATATTGACTGAGAATAGAGCCTTGAGGCACGCCATGAGAGAGTTTCCTAGGACCGATAAAATTACCTCTGTTATCTTGGACATAAATATCTCGATCGCGAAATCCAGACTTTAGCTGGAAGTCCCATAGAGTTCATCTTTTGCTCCAATAAGTCCAAGTTTACCGAATTATATACGCTTTTCAAATCAAGAAACAAACTGGCGCAATATTGATTTTATGAAAAAGCATGTTGAACCTCGGTAACCAAATCTGCTACTGCGCCCAGCGAACTAAACGACTTTCTGAAGCCATATTGTTGATAAGGCAGGATCTTATTTTGATCTAGCCACCATTCAAGGGGCGCTTTTATTAATTGCTCATATGTTTTCAAAAAACACGAGAGTACACAACACAACACTTCCCATTCTTTGGGAGAAGTATCAAGTTACATTATCTCCGCACTTATTTGGATAAATTTTCGGATAATTTAGGAAATTATAGTAAGGAATAGGGAGAGCGATTCCACCAGGACCTAAATGTGATGGAGGGAATGATGGTCTTTAAAAAGAGATTGTCCCCTGAAAAATTATAAAAGAAAAGCTCATAAAAGGTGTTTTATTTACTTCGATGTATCCTAATTTTTCAAAACAAAACTGACGTTGGATTCGTATTGTTTTATTCTTTCGGAAGATACCATAATATACAGGCTGTTCCATTTAAAAGAACCAAGTTGATCCATTTTCCGGAAAAACTAAAAGTGATAGCAATTATTATAGTTGTAAGAATAATTAGATTTAAAAAAATATGAAAATGGATGTAACGGTGTAAAATTATTTGTCCCCACAGAGTAAAGTGGTTTATTTTGGCGATAAATTTAAAAAGCCGGCGCGTAAATATTTTGCAAAGTTTCCCTAGACGCCGATTCGAATGTTGGTTCCATTTCGCCGAGTAAACAAGTGGCGCAGTGTAAAAACAAAGAAAATTGGGAAGGAGATAACACATCCGGCACCGAAAAGCGTACATCTTTCGACAATGCCACCGAAATATCAAGTTTAATGTCGTTTTAACGGCGTCACCTTACATCCCGTTAAATGCACTCGCGCAAACCATGTTAGTACCAAGTTTAGTATAAACCCCAACTTTGTTATATATAGTACCGTTAATAAAATAAACCAACCTGTAACAAAACCTAAACGTTAATTTATAAATAACAGCTCGCCAAAAATATCAAATATCCCTCGATTCGCTCGGCGTTAATTGAAATTTCCTGGAATTAACGTTATACGTCGAGTAGCGTTAATTAAGGGTTAATTAAAACATAATATGGAAACATATAGGTGAAACTTTTGAAATGCGCCTGCAGCATCTATTTTAAGTGGATCCACGCGGTGTAAACCAGTCGAAACACTCTCCTTATTCCTCTTCTTGAAATTCTTTTTCCGCTTTGCGGATCATTAAGGAGCTCGCTTTACTCCACGGCAAATGGCTTACAGAAGAACCATTAAGCGGAACAGACGACGTTGTACTTACATAATGAGGGGGACTACGCTTTCAGATCAATATCATCTTATGCCAACCTACAATATCTTATTTTATAATTTATGGTGTAACAACAAAATTTTCTTCATTTTATTTCATATTCGATTTAATCATGATTGATATTCAAAATGAACGTTGCACGTCGGAAAATGACTGGTTATTCGGAGAAATTGGGTTCGGTTAATGAAACAATAAATACGTGCTGCAGTATAGAACTAAATGGCCGGTTTACTAGCAATTAAACGCTCGTAATTTTGGGATCTCGAATATCGAAACCCCGTTTTACTAACTGCTCTCGTTCCGCGCTTAATCCGAAACCATTTGTAACCATTTACGGGTTGTACGTAATTCCATTATCTCAATGTCTTTTTACTTATAAAACATTGTCGCTGTAATTCTATTTTCTATAAAAGAAATTTATCTAAAAATTTATTTATAATATATATATATACAGGGTGTTTCATGAAGTTCTCCCGGCACTAATAATCATCAGAACATTCAGAGTATTCGGAATAAAATTGATGAACTGCTTGTTTTCGTAGAATCCTTAGATATCACTGTAAATGTAATAACTTTGACTGAACATTGGTTGAAAGCTGATGAAGTAATACTAGTGGATAGTTATAAAGTGGCTTCAACATTTTCAAGGGTAAATAATCAACATGGAGGCAGCTGTATACTAGTACGTAACGATCTCAAGTACACGGAGCTGATGAATATAAAAGACAAAAGTAAAGAATTTGTTATTGAATGTAGTGCTATAAAATTAAATGTACAAAAAGTAACGATTATCTGTATATACCGATCACCAAAATCGGATATAGAAGACTTTTTTAACATTTTAGAGGACATACTATTAGAATGTTCACCGCAAACATTGAAAACTAAATTATTATTAACTGGTGATTTAAATATAAATCTAGAAAATAGAAATACTAATACTCTCAGATTGTTAGATATGCTTAACCGACACAATCTTAGACCAACTATCAACAAACCAACACGGATAACTGAATATTCCAGCTCACTTATTGACAATATTTATGTGAACATAGAAAGTTGTAACAGTGAAGTAATCATTTCAACTCTTTCCGATCATACAGCGCAGAAGATATCTTTTCCAATAACAACTATAGATGGCAACACACAAGTAAAAATGCTAAAAAAACGTATATTTAGCAATACAATTCTCTCAGAAATACATGCTGAAATACATATAATTGATTGGAATTTTTTAAGTAGCTATAAAGAGACTGACGAGTTATATGACAAGTTCATAGATGTAATACATAATTGCATAATTAAAAAATCAGAGAAAAATTTAATTAAAATGAATGTTAAATCGGCTACTAATAAATGGTTAACAAAAGAAATAAAAAACAAAACGCGTGTGAAGCGTCAACTATATGAAGGAATGTTAATGGGTAAAATTGATAAAGAATATTACAATATTTACTCCCGACATGTTCGAAACGAAATAGCGATATCAAAAAGAACTGTTTTCACCAATTTTATAGAAACAGCTAAAAATAAAGTAAGGGCTACATGGAATACCATCAATACGCTCAGACAAAATAAGCAATCTGAAGATCTCGATTTATGTGATTTTCAACACAATTACAAAAGTAATGATGAACTGTTGAATGCAATAAATATTTATTTTGCCAATATAGCGGTTGGTAAAATGATTAATCTACAAGTACACAACACTATAAAAACAAATATCGACTTAAAGAGATCATTTGCGTTTTATCTGACTGATCCGTGTGAAGTAAAATCAGTCATAATGTCTTTAAATAATACGTCTGCAGTTGGTTACGACGAAGTTCCGATCTCTGTTCTAAAAGCTTGCGTCGATTATCTTGCTGAACCTTTAAGTAGTATTATAAACCTGTCATTTGGTTCTGCAACTTATCCACACCACCTGAAAAGAACCTTAGTAAGGCCATTGTATAAAAAAGGTGACAAATCAGACTTTTCGAATTATAGGCCAATCGCTTTAATACCTAATGTTGCGAAGGTTTTTGAAAAGATAGTACTGATGAGACTTAAAAGCTACATTTTCAAAAATCAAATACTGAATGAGTCACAAAATGGCTATATTGAGGGTAGATCTACAACCGGAGCAATTTTTCAGTTGATGGAAAAAATTCCAACTGGAATAAACAATAACGAACTTACCGGTTGCATAATGATGGATCTAACCAAAGCGTTTGATAGTGTTCATCACGACATCCTTTTAATGAAGATGGAAGCAATGGGAATTCGAGGTATTGCGCTAGAGTGGTTCAGATCTTACCTCTCAGACAGGGAACAGTGTGTTATTGCTTATGATCAAAAGGGAAATGAACTAGCATCAAAATGGGTACGGGTTCTACAAGGAGTGCCGCAAGGATCGATATTGGGACCGTTTCTATTTCTCTTATACATCAATGATCTTCCTGGAGTAATTGATGATTTAATAACTGCGAAAACGGAACAACAATTGTCAGCACAAATACAAAATAACCTCAATTTACTGTATAACTGGTTTTCTAACAACAATCTTCAACTTAATATTGAAAAAACAAACATTATGATGATTGGGAGAGCTGCAGCGACCAACTGTGACATCAATTTGCAATTCAATGGCAAACAACTTACCCCTGCAGAAAAGGTGATGTTCTTGGGTGTTAAAATTGATGTGAATCTTTCATGGAAACAGCATATTAATGATTTAGCTATCAAGATATATCGGGCGTGCTATGCGTTGAGAACTATTTCGCGGGTAGTTTCAGTCAGACTGCGGTATGGGGTCATTCGGTTGATTTAAGTCGTATCTTTATAGCGCAGAAGAAATGTTTGAGAGTAGTTTTCGGACTTCAAATGAGAGAATCGTGTAAACCCTTTTTTAAATATTATAAAACTCTGACAATGCCATCGTTAGTGATTCTTGAATCCGCAATGTTTATAAAAAATAACTATACTTTCTTTAAAAAATATGAACAACAACACTGTTATGTTACATGTGGAGTAGAAAATGTCTATTTACTTCCACCAAAAACGCGGTATACTAAGATACAAAAAAGTACTGTTAATTTTGTGTTAAGGTCTTCAACCATCTACCTAATAGTTTGAAAATAAAGCATTACAGTAGATTAAATCAGACTGTTTGAATATTATTTGACGTTTTCTGTGCATTTTTGTAAAGATGGAAATAAAGCTTCTTATTATTATAGATTGTGTATCAATAGACTGTGTGTCAATAGACTCTGTGTTAATACTAGATCGAGAGAAACCATTATCAAGGCAAAAATTTGTTCTTAAACTTCAAGAACAACTCACCAAACCATGGCAACAAAAAAGGCTACAAAATTACACCTCCCTGTCATGAAAATTGAAACACTCTCTATGTCAATTTTTACAAGATCTGCCTATTGCAGAGAATCAGGAAAACCCTCAGTGAAAATTTTCGATGTTGCAATTTTCATTGATAATTTTCAAAATTATTAATTAATGTATTCTCTTTTTAATGCAAAAAGCCGTTTTGAAAAATCATTTTTAGTTCTTGAGAAATAAATTTTTGAAATAATCGATTTTTCAATTTTCGCCGATTAAGTTTTAAAAATTCCTATAAAATCTATTTCTTGGAATATGAGTATGAAAATTTCCCAAAGTGTTAATAAAAGTGTCCTCATTCCAACGAACCAACTCGTCTTGAAAAATAACTTTTAGTTTTTGAGAAAACAATATTTGAAGTTTTGATAAAATTTTCGATGTTGCGATAATATTCAAAATTCGCTATAAAATTAATTTCTTGAAGGATCCTTGTGGAAATATCACCAATTATTAATTAAAGTATCCTCTTTTTAATGCAAAAAGCCGTTTTGAAAAATCACTTTTAGTTTTTGAGAAATAAATTTTTGAAATGATCGACAATTTTTTCGAATTTTGCAATTTCGCCGATTAAGTTTTAAAAATTCGTATAAAATC